TCTGTCTGCGGGGAATTGAGGGCGCGCCCCCTCCTGCACGGCCTGATGGGACGGAAGGAACGGCGCGGTCTAATGGAAACCAATTACCCGACCATCAGAGTGGTCAGAGCTGCAGTCCTGAGGAGACACCAAGGTGAGTGTGTGTGTGTGTGTTTACCTGCAGTGAGGACGCCTGTACGGTGGCTGAAAGGTCCCAAAGCAAACGCAGGAAACATCTAATAATAGACAGTGAGGCCTTCAGGGACCGTACGCTACAAACATATATCGGTGTGGAAATCATACAAACAGACTGAAGGAGGAACAGATTTCATGTTAGAAGTTCTTGGAAAAACACGCTCACTACAAGGTCCGTTTAGTAACTGCTGGAACTCATTTAAAATATCATTCCTCACCCCGTTAAGAAACGAGGGGCCTTTTGTTTAAAGTCTCCATGAAACAGGAAGTAGAGAACTGTTAGCTTCCTCAAAACTTCGTGTTCTGGCAGTTAGGAAGGGACTTGTCATGGATATTGATTGGCAGTTTACAGCGGCCAATAACAGGTTGCGCTACAAGCTCAGTGTCAGATCTCACATCAGTGTCTACCTTCAAGTGAACACAACCGGACCCGGGCCCAACTACGACCTCTGAGACTGACATTGTCAGTCTAACAAGGAATACAGTACCGAGGTGGTTCTCTCGCTGGTTTGGGCTGAGTCGTTTAGCTTAGCTGCACGGCTGACCGAGCTAACAGCAGTTAGCAGTCGGCTACTAATCAATCTGTCCATCAGGATACTGGATAGCAGAAGACGTATAGAAGAAGACCGATAAAAACACAACATTGTGATTTAGACTTGTTGGAGACTTTACGAGACAGGTTGAAACGTTCTACCTGACATTAAAAGCTGCCAGTGTAAACCACTGCGACTGGATGAGACGGTGCTTTCTGACCTTATTTATTCTACTGGTTCCTTATTTTACTGTGTTTTATTAATCTCTCTTTCTGTTATCATTTATCAGGCTGCATCATGTTTTTCTGTCGTCCGATTGGTTGCTGCTGAGCTCTGATTCTCTAATGTCGGTAATTAAAGTCTGAATGAGAAACAAGCAGCACTAACCTGCAGCAGATTGTTTGTGTCCAACAGCCCGACTCAAATGAGTAAGGACATCTGATCAGGTCCAAACAAGGACACTGATCAATACGAGGCAGGAGCAGAGGATTGTGGGAGGCGAGCAGCTGACAGGCAGCAAGTGGAGAAACAACATTTACAAATGAGGAACAGCGATGTGAGGGCGGCGGCGTGGACGGGTCATTAGAGCAGCCAATGAGACGCAGCTAAAATATGCGTCCTGTGTCCACCGAGCAAACGCCGCAGGAAGTTGTTTAAAAGTTATCTGAGCAAGAAACTCCCTCCGACTCACCTCATCAATGATTCAACATTTACAACCTCTCACACTGTCCGAGTCCGAGTGTCTTCATGAGTCCCTCAAAGAGTCCTTCTTTCACTAGAGTGCAAGTCCAGATTAATTCAGGTCTCAGGTCTTTAGGAGCAGGTCCAAACTTAAGGTCAGGTCACCAGGAGCAAGTCAAAACCATACAGGTCTCAAGTCCTTGGAACCGAGTCTGAGTCTCTTTCTATCAATGCAAGTCTCAAGTCCTCGAGGATAAGTGGAAGATAAGTCTAAAGACTGTCAAAGCAAGCTTTAAGTCCTTGGACCAAGTCTCTGTCTATCAAAGGAAGTCTGCATATTGATCGATGATCAAACTTCCTGCCTTCTACCTGGTTCAGAGGAGTCATGGAGACTCTTCGGGGAGACTCTGATCACTCTGATCTGAATGTGCTGGAGGAGTTCCCGGGACAGCGCTCATTTGTCCTTCCTCGCTGTGGCTCGTTGGAGAGGGAATGATGCCTTCATCCCCTCCTCCATCCTTCACCCTGCAGACAGACTCAGCAGAGGAGTCGCACTTCCTCTCCCTCCATCATCCTTTACTTCACTCATTACTGCCACTCCTCTTCATCATCCTGCCCCAGCTCCTCTTCCTCCTCCTCTGATCACAGTCAGCTGTGTCTGTGGGTCTCCGTCCGTCTTCCTCTCTCACACTGATGGACTGAAGCACGTCTGAAATCTTTAATCTGCTTATTAACTGCAGCTGACACAGAAATAAAAAGTATAATATTTCCCTCTGAACAGACTCAGCTAGCGTCAGCGTCGACCTTCGGGTGAAAGGAGGAATATATATATAAAAAGTGTGTTAAAGGATAAATCAGATGCTTTATTCTATATTTCTTTTTGTAGAAGTTCTTTACTGAACGAGTCCATCAGGATTGTAAATGTACATTAAAACAGACGAGCTGATGTTACCTGTCAGCTCTAAAAACCTATTTGTGGAAAGTAAAAAGACCATAAAGAGTCCAGAGAGCTGCAGTCAGGGTCGGGCTGGATGATGGAGGGATGAAAAGAGAAGAAAAATATGAGAATAAAAGGAACCAGAGAGAGAGAGAGAGCGAGAGAGCAGGTGAAAACAGATCGAAAAGAGTCAGCACACCTGGCCAAGGACACACACACCTAAACACAGCTCTGATAGCGTCATCCATTAGCTCCAGTGGACAGCCGGTAATGGCTGAGACACAGAGGACACCTATAAACACACACTCTCATTATTTATAATGTAATGTCCCCCAGAGACAACCAGGTCTCACTAAACTAAACTCTACTTTTAAATCGACCTTCTCCCTTTCACTTCCTGTGTGATGTTAAAAGATCATGTGATCGACAGGTAAAACTAATGTCTGCGTGAGACAACAAGAACTCTAAAATAAGACTCTGTTTAATGTTTAATCTGTTGGATTATTCCCTAAAACGGTCTCTACTACAGTCAGTCTGTTGAAACAGAGTAGTAGATCTGCAGGTCGTGGGTTCGATCCCCGCTGAGGATAAAGACCCACAGTGTCACACCTTCGCCATCCTAGGGTGGAAATCATCCTGAATGATGCAGTACAGTACAGACTGATACACTGATTATTGGCAATATTAGTAATCAATACATAAATATATAGATCCAGCTCGTTAAACATCGTCTCTCTTAACAGAAAGTTTGATTCAATCTAACGAGGCTCCAGCTGACAGACAGACAGACAGTTTAAAGGTAAACAAACAGGGACTCTGCTGAGAACTGAAGCCAGTAAACATGCGGAGAGCGTCGAGCTGCTGTGAGTCATCGGCTGCGGCGGCGATAAGGACGACTGAATCCCAGTGAGCTCACAGGAAACAATACAGAGCGCCGATCAACCAGAACGATACAAAACAACCCGTTTACTGCTCAGCACTCACTGTTCCACCTGTTAGAGATCAAATATACTGAATGTGGAATACAGAGCAGCAGGCAGCGGCAGTAGCATACTTAGCTTAGCATTATGTAGCATGATATCATGACCGGAAAGCTGTTAGCTTTAGCCTCAGTCTGTTAGCATTACTGCATGTATGCTATGTAGCTACCATATTAATATACAGTTATATATATTGTTTATTTATATAATTAGCCGTTAGCAGTCAGAACTTACACTCTCGGGGTGCCCAGTTAGCTCAGTGGGTAGATGTACCATGTACGGAGGCTGGGTCCAGGGTTCAAATCCGACCTGCGGCCCTTTGCTGCGTGTCATCCTCTCTCTCTGCCCTCCTTTTCCTGTCTCTCTTCAGCTGTCACTATCATAAA